GAAGGGTAGTTTGGACACCCCAGATATGTATGATAGTATGTTTATATTATGATATATGTGATAGTAGCAGTAGGGGGTTGAATAGTCCCCGAGGTTCAGTTGTTAGGACCGATGGGTAGGTCAGCACCCCAGAACAGCTTGACACGGGTAGGTCAGGACCCTAGAAAGGCTTGACACGGGTAGGTCGACACCCCAGAATGGTCGTACCGGGTAGGTTGGGCACCTCATAATTGCCTGAGAGTATGTATGCTATGTGATTGTATGGTAGGTCGTACGATGGGGGAACTCACTAAGCTTCCTGCTTACGGTTTATAGTTTTGGTTTCAGGTACTCGTTTTCAAAGGAAAGGAGCCGACTCGATCGCAGCGCATCATACTATTGTTTTCCGCACATGAGATCTTTGAGATTACACTCTAATATTGTTTTATGATAACATGTTTTGATTATTTATACTTTGGTTTTGTCATCACATGATATTATGGATGTTTTCTTATATTGTTGGTTTTATAATAACTTATCTAAAAATGAAAATTTTGGCCTTAAATTTTAGGATGTTACAAGTTGGTATCAGAGCCTTGGTTTGAGGGATTCGGGCACACTCTTGGGTGTGACTGAACTCAAACTAAGGACTTGGTATGAAAATTTTCATAAGTAAAACACTTTTATAAAAAGAAGTTTAGAAAGAGAAAAGAACTTTGAAAAGAACAAGGTGTGTGATGCATGCAATCAGCCGAGCTTAAGTAAGTTTTCCCAAGATACCCATACATGATATGATATGTTATGTTATGTTATGATATGGTTATGAGAACTGCATGCTAGATTACGATTGGGGATCTAGAAGGATGCCTTATATGCCTATTGTATGTGCTTGTAGATTTGCATGCTAGTACTTATCAGTCAGTAATAGGATACCCTGTTTAGATTATGCCTGATTGTATGAGCCTTTGAATTGCATGTGCATATTCCTGATTAGAGGATAAGATGGTTTGATTGGAATATTATGGTTAGATTTTCCATTGTCTAAATGATGCTTGCTTTGTGCTTTGTGGGACTTTTAGTAATGTGAGCTAGCTATTAAGTGAATATGCTAAGTCACATGTGGCACGGGCTGGATAATCTCAGAGTGATAGATTTAACCCTATTGTGCAGCTCTTTTCTGATTCCAACCGTTCTGGTGATGGTTCTATTACTTGAAGGATTATCTTATCTCTATTGCATGTGGCTATAGTCAGGAAGTAGCTAGTTGACATTACTGGGAATCTTTCAACAGTTGAGGACTGGGTGGGTACGGGAACCTAGGGAAGCCTAGGATATGTTTCAATGGGTTAGTAGTGAGGCTTAATGCGACTTGGGTGTACCATTTGAGGAATTGACTTGGAGGATTCAGGAGGATTGCTGAGGAAAGTATGGATAGGTGTGGAAGGTAGTATTGGGCCCGTACTAATGAAAGCACAGGATCCATACTCGAATCGGTGAGAGTCTTGGAGAATCTAAGAAGTTTTGGGGAAGAGTTTGTGACCCGGTTTGTGGACATAGGATGTTTCAGTTGTTGCAGCTTAGCCATTGGTAAGTGAGCTAGTGAGCCTGACAGGGTGTCAGACCTTGAAAGATATGACTTCCAAGAGTGTGCAGATGCGAGATCCATTTGGGAGCAATTTGAGAAGAGAGAGTCGTGCCAGGTGCATATAATAGGGGGTCCCAGGGAGAAACCCAATACTTTCGATCATCAGATGAAAGACCAGCAGGGCTGGAGTCAGTGAAGCATGTGCTGGAGAGTGCGCAAGGGAGTTTGTCACTCCAAGGGTTTACGCTGGTACAGGTGTGTCGGGGTTGATTATGTCAGCTGAAGGTGATCAGTATTCCTCCAGATGTTGAGGGTATGTCATCTTCTACTATTATTAGGTGGATGTTGGGAGTACGTATCGCTTTGGAATTGTGAATGAGTTTGGATAAGTTAGATCTCGGGTTGGTTTTCTACTAGTGTTTGGGTTATCAAGGATCATATATTCCATCCTGCATGATGAAAAGTCCTTGATGAACCCACAGAGGGACACACATCTTGTGAAGTAGGTTCTGCGTGTACTGCTATCATTCGGGATCCTTATCAAGATTTTTTTAGGAGTATTATTTGGGAGATCCCTGGTCGGGAATTAGTGGGATGGTTCTCCAGTGAAGTCAAAGTTCTGTGATTCTATCATTGGTTTGTATATGGTCGACATTTGCGATGAAAGAACTTTGGAGATCAAGAACCTACTGTTTCTAAGACAGGATTAGTAGCACGAAGATGGTGATGTCATCTATGAGTGTTAGATGCATAAGTGGTTGGTCATTGGATGTTCAAGAGAATTGTATTTTCGCATGGGCTGTGTACGGATAGATTCCAGTGGTGCTGCAAGGTTGGAAGTTAGAACGACGACTCGTCAGTCAGAGTGAAGATTTGAGCCTCTAGTTGTCAGCATGGGAGGTGGATTGAGGTGTCAGACTGGACCAGATTTCAAGAGTACTCATCAAGATTTCCGAGTATGGGTGATCTTAAGGTTTAACCAGTGATTGATCGCTAGCATTGGTTAGCACATCATGTCGTCAGTGGGATACTAGAAAGCGAGAAGGATTAGGAATCCCTCAATTCTCTCATGCCGTGAAGACTTATTTGAATCTAAGTGGGGAAGAGACTTTTTATCTAAGTGGGGACGATACTTTTTATAAAGTTCTCCAAATGTGAGTTTTGGTTGCGCGGGGTGCAATCACTTGGGCACCTTGTCAGCTAGAAGGGTATTCTAGTTGATCCAGCTAAGATAGAGGCTATGATACAGTCGGAGATTCCGAGGTCTCCATATGAGATTTAGAGTTTCCTGGGTATAGCTAGTTATTACCGGAAATTTACATGGGTCTTCTCCGAGATTGTGGTTCCTTTAACCCGACTGACCAAGAAATCGATGGCCTTTCGTTGGGGGCCTGAGCAGCAGGCAGCCTTTGAGACTCTTAGACAGCGGCTTTGCGAGGCACTGATTCTCACCGTGCCGGAGGGTGTAGATGATTTCATTGTTTACTGTGACGCTTTGATCACAGGAATGGGTACCAGGTTAGGGTTCTGGTTAGGACTCAAGTTCAGTGGGGTCACGTGAGTGTTCGACCCAGTTTTGATACAGTGGGTACCAGGTTAGGGTTCCGGCTTTGCGAGGCACTGATACAGTGGGGTCACGTGATAGCAGGTTTCGGGAACCAGGTTAGGGTTTCGGTTAGGACTCAAGTTCAGTGGTGTGTTAGGTCGAGTGCGTGTTTGACCCAGTTTTGAAAGTGTTTTAAGACTACAAGGGTAGCCTTAGCATTCACTAGTGGGCAGTTAGTATGGAATGCTGTAAGACTACGGGGGTAGCCGTAGCATTCAGTAGTGGTCAGTAGCATGGGAAGTGTTGTAAGTCTGCGGGTGTAGCCATAGCATTCACTAGCAGCGAGATAATGATAGAGTGTTGTAGGTCTATAGGTGTATCCGTAGCATTCACTAGGTTGGTAGATAGTATGAGTGCATTGTTAGGACACAGAAGGAACAATAGTACCCACCAGTTCGAGTGCGGCAGTGAGGATATGGAAATCCACCTATTGGATTTTGGGATTACCCAAATGGATTAGATGTGGTTGAGCCTGCGATACGACAGTTGGAACGTCACTACAATTATAAGATCATGGTAGAAATGGATTGCTTAGGTTCATGTATGATATAAGGTTACCGTTGGTCATGGAGCCATCACTTTTAGCCTTGGGTTTGGTAACCTCAAGATTCGACGTATGGAACCGATCGGGTAGATCGAAAGGTTTTTAGAGTCATAGTGGCATGATAACTAGTTGTAACTAGTTCCAGAGAAGGATTTCGTTCAGAAGTTGTGTGAGGTGACTAAGTGGGAGTCCTTTGGCTCCGTAGCCGGGTCGGGACTTGGTATTTCAGATGACTGATGAACAAATTAAGACCAGGGAGGTCTCAATGGATTTTGGAAAAGCAGCCATGTGGCGACTTTATGCTTTAGGCATTTCAGTGTTAAGGCAATTTCAGCGTCTGGGGTAGTGTTAGTACTCGTGTCTTAGGTCGCAAGTACAGACGGAATAGTTGGTTGATTGGGGAGTGACAAGTCACTCACGATAGAATTAGCTGAGCCTTGGCCAAGTATAAGTAATATGTAAGGATATTTTGGTCTGTGGCCCTGTTTTATAGTGGGAACCACGGGTGATTAGAAGTTAAGTAGTCAGTTGAAGGATAAACAGATTGGATTCAACGATAATAACTTGGTATGAGTGGTATGTTAGGGATTCATACCATCTCGAAACATCAGATTTCGAACAGAATACATGTGATTTTGTTGCGAGGAGTTCATTCACCTACTGATTTTTGGGGCTTTGCGAAGATTGGTCATAGCTACCATGGGAAAGGCTAGGGTGTGCCCAGGATGGTGACCATATTACTGAAGTGGTATGGGTCGTAAGAGATGGTAAGGAAAGATTTCAAGGACAAAATCTAATTTAAGTGGGGGAGAGTTGTAACACTCTGTTTATTCATTTAATAGATGAATAAATTAATGAAGGAATATTAACCCTAAAATAAATAATTATATGTCGAAGGTTGGTCTCGAGGAGATAATTGTCACACTTTAAGAGATTGAGGGTTAAAAGAGTAACATTTGGACCTTATTTAGAAAGATATTGAAGAGAGGGGGCTGTTTGGTAAGTATTATACTCAATTTGTAAGGAATTTTAAGACTGAGGGTTGAAAAGGTAAATATGGGATTTACTTTGAAATAGTTTCTAGCTGGAGGGGCTAAATCGTAAATTTCAGATGTTATTTCGAAAGAACAATGGAAGGAGGGACCATTTATGCGTTTATGGGATAGATCTTAAGGGAACCAGGTATTTAACTGTTTCATTTTCTCATAACCATAACCCTAAGGTGTAGCAACCGCAACCCTCTCCATCTTCACTTCTGGTAGCCACCATCACCATTGGAACCCTCATCAGCCACCGGTTGCATCACCGAGTCCGACAGCCCGGTTCCGCCTACTGCCTTGTCGACAAGTATTACTGAACCACCATCTTGCGTCGCCGACGTTCCCTTTGCCTGTGATGACGAAGTCTTTCGCTACTGCTGGAGATGTTGGTGTGCTGTTGTAGCCGCCAAAGACAGAGGAGGGAACCGCGACCATTGTCGTCGCACAGACCATGAACGATTTGCTTTCCGGCATACTCTCCTTCCCCACCTTCTTCCGTTGTTGGGTCATCACTGTCGCCCCAGCGGTTGTTCCCTTCCACTGTCGAGCTTCATTAGTTGCATGCCATCAGGTGGAGGTGTGTCCAAGTTAACGTGTGTTGTTGCTACTGTTTATGTTTGCTGTGTGAGCATGAAAGCTTAGCCGGAGATCAAGAGATAAGAACCACCATGGCCGCCGACCATGGTAGTTGTTGCCCTGAAATCATTTCCCGCCATCACAGGCCACTATAAGGTGGTGGCTATGTAAGTAAACCCTTGGATCATTGTGTTTTTTAAGATGGTTGCTTAGTATTTGGCCGGAGATCGCAAGAGCTGCCTCTGCAACCACCATGAGGTGGTGGCTACAACCTTCTACCACCACCGGCCACCATAGGGTGGCTGTGTGTGTGTTTATGTTGTTTAGTGTGTGTGTTTATTTTGAGTTTCAGCATTGTAAAGTGTAAATTACAAATTGAATAATGAAAGGAAAACAAAAAACCACCACCGGTTGGACAATGGGACTAAGAAACCCTAATGGGCCAAATAAGGTTTAATAGGCTTAAGAAACCCTAATGGGCCCAATAAGGCTTAATGGGCTTAATAAACCCTAATGGGCCTATAAAGTTTAAGGGACCTAAAAGCCCAAATAGATGATTAATGGGCCTAGTGAAACCTTAATGAGTATAATGAACATTAATTAATCAAAAGACATATTAGTTGGGCCTATTGGGCTAAGATGGGGTTGGAAACCCTAATTAGGGTTTAGAAAACCCTAATATTGGATTTATGGGCTTGGACTTATTGAGACCCACTTTTGGGCCATTGGAATGGAATTGTGTGATTAAGCCCAATTACACCATATGGCTTATTTAGAAGAATGATGGACTTCATGGATTAAGTACATAACGGATTAAGTCCTTAATGGGTTAAGTGAGAAACACTTAACCCTAAACCCTAATTGTTATTTTATGTGAAAACCCTAATTTCACTTGGTTTTATTGTTGGGCCTTTTATTGGGCTTTGATGATTGGATTATTAATGGGCCGTCCAAGATCAAGCAAATGGACTAGAATAATTAATGGGGTTTGAGGTAAGGCCCATATAAGGAGTTGGGCCAAATTTGGAAAATTAGTCCATAGATGGGCCATAGTTGGGCCTTAATGATTATATAATATTGGACCATTAAACTTTCAAAGGCTGGACTAGAATAAATGGTTGGGCCTTATGGTAAGATCTTGTAAAGGTTTGGGCCCAATTTGGAAAATTGGGCCATATGTTGGGCTTTGACATATATTTGACTTTTGGGCCTTTGGATTGGGCCTTGGGCTTGAATAAAGCTTGAGTAAGTGGTAAAGTAGTATTTACCCGAAGTATGTATTTATGGTTATGCGTTGGAACCCAATTATTAATTGAGTGATGTTTTGATATTGACAGTTCGGGAATCTATCATCCAACAGTTGAGCTTGGGTCTGCGGGACTTCAGCAGTATAGGGTTAAGTCTACGGGACTTCAACGGTTTGAGGTGAGTTACCTTCCAGTAGCGGTGGGTCTACGACCATAATGTCGGCCCACCAGTAGGATTCGTATGTTAGATGATTGTCTTTGTGATAGCTACTACCTGATATGTTTATATGCTGGCATGATATGTTATATGTGATAGTGGTAGTAGGAGGAGAATAGTCCCTAGGTTCGGTTATTAAGACCGAAGGGTAGTTCGGACACCCCATATATGTCTGATAGTATGTTTATGTTATGATATATAGGATAGTAGCAATAGGGGTGGAATAGTCCGCAATGTTCGGTTGTTGGGACCGATGGGTAAGTCAGCACCCCAAAACGGCTTGACACGAGTAGGTCAACACCCCAGAAAGGCTTGACACGGGTAGGTCGGCACCCTAAAATGGTCGTACCGGGTAGGTCGGGCACCCTAGAATTGCTCGACAGTATGTATGTTATGTGATTGTATGGTATGTGGTATGATGGGGGGAACTCACTAAGCTTCGTGCTTACGGTTTACAGTTTTGGTTTCAGGTACTCGTTTTCAAAGGAAAGGAGTTAGATCGATCGCAGCACATCACACTATGGTTTTCCGCACATGAAATATTTGGGTTACACTCTGATATTTTTTTATGATAACATGTTTTGATTATTTCTACTTTGGTTTTGGCATGACATGATATTATGGATGTTTTCTTATACTGTTGGTTATATAATAACTTTTCTAAAAATGAAATTTTTGGCCTTAAATTTTGGGATGTTACATTTGACTTATAACTTATTATTTTAACACATAAGGTCCATAAAGTTTGTTTTTGTTGTGCACTTCATCCATGTCTTACCTAAAAAAAACTATTTTGTCCTTGATTATTTAATTTATTTAAAAAAGGTGGTGTAGGTAGGGTAATGTAAGGTGAGGTGGAAGTGGGGTTGGGCGTGTGTTTATTTAAATAAATTAAAAGATCAAGGATAAAATAGACTGTTTAGGTAAGACATGGACCAAGCGTGCAACAAAAACAAACAATAGGGACCTTCAGAGTTAAAAAAAATAAGTTAAGGACCAAACGTGCAAATCACCCCAAACCATAAGGACCCTGCATGTAATTTACTCTTCCCATTATAGATGTTAATATCATCACTTGGTCTTTCACCACTTGTTTTTCACTTCATTCCACTATTGTTCTTTGTTTCTTTTGTGAAGAATGTCTAGCTTTGACATGCATGTTTTACATTTGATGGTGTCTCGCGAATGGTTATCCTCGATTTTTTAGAAATACCATCTTATTGACAACGATGGAGCCGCCATTCCCAGTGCAGGTGCTATGATTAACAATCCCCCTGACGGTAATATGGGTTTCTATATTTACTACTTTTAAGCGGGTTTGAGGGTCCCCCCCCCCCACCTTTCCTTTAGTATGGTTGTCAATGCTTATATGATTCATACATGTCAATTCAAACCTATCTATCTCCAAGATAATATGTTTCAAACTGGTGTGTCATACATGCCTGCTAGTACCTACTATCAATTTATTCTTCTTTCGTGTTTGTAATAGCGGGGTCTGGTTCTATTTTTCCTCTCCAGGGAAGATTTGTATACAATGTATCCCTAAATCGATCAACGGGTGGATGAATGAATTTATTTGTCTTAATGATTCCCGATTCTCCTATCCTAAAGATTTTCATCATCCTGGTACTATCGATGATCAGGGGCTTGATGTAACTCCTAACCTTGGACAAAATATCTCCAAGATATTTAGTTTATAGGTACCCATGAAGAAGTTTCTTGAACTAGTGTTGGGATAGGCTAGCGTGAGTCCGCACTGGATATGAATGGGTATAATTCGTTCTTTATGTGTTTGTGGTCCAGGTATTTCACTTTGCTTCTTCATCCTATTGTGTTTATTCATTGATAGTTTGATGTTTATACACTTGTTTGCTTTATTTAGGTGACACTCTATTCCCCTTTTTACTATATGATTTTGTAGATGGAAATATTTCTTCCCATGATATTGCGTCCAACGATTTTGAATTGCCACTGATAGATGATAGCATGATTAATGATAATGACAAATTTAGCGATGATGATCTTGATGATGAAAGTGATGAAGAATCTCAGACTTTTCTTAATGTTCATGAATCCGATGACTCGATGTGGTTGGTGGTGGTCAAAATCCAGGTGTCGGTATCTCTAGTATTGTTGTTAATGATGATGATAAAGATGAAGGTTTAGATACTGGTTTATTCCCCCCCCCCCCCCAAAAAAAAAGATAGAGGGGTAGATGATTCGGCTGCTTTTGCATCGGCATTGTTTGGCAGAGAGAGGAGTAGAGGAGGTAGAGATATAAAATGGTATGGTTCTCTAAATCTTATCACCTTTCATTCATTTACTAGCAGCCCTTGTGTTACCATGAACAAGATGATTGAGGAATTGAGCATCGTTCTGCAAACCCAATTCATCAAGTCCATGAACACCACTAGCGTGTTGGTGAGCCTAAGTGACATCACCACGAACTCGTAATGCCCATAACAAGTCCGGAACAAGGTCTTCTCCATGTCCTCCTCCTAAACCCTGACCTGATGGATCCCATACTTAAGGTCTATCTTGGAGAACCAAGATGCTCCCTGCAACTGATCGAAAAGATTATCTATCCTCGGGAGTGGATAACGGTTCTTAATCGTCAACTTGTTTAACTCTCGGTAGTCAATTAACATGTAAGGCAGCTGAAGCCTCACGAGGTGAACTACCTGACACATGATCTGGAGTTGGGGCGGTTCTTTTCACCCTCAAGATTTGGCAGCATTACCTCTATGGGGTTCGTTGTACCATATACACGGACCACAAGAGCTTGAGGTACCTCATGGATCATCCGTATTTGAACATGAGGCAATTTCGGTGGTTAGATGTGGTGAAGGATTACGAATATGAGATCCTTTACCACCCGGGAAAGGCCAACGATGTGACCGATGTGCTTAGCCACAAGGCAACCCCAATTAGATACATTTTCTTGAGGATGATGGTGGTGACTCCATTTTTTGGAGCATATTCGATAGGTGCAGGTTGAGGGTATGAAGGAGGAACGCCGGAAGTGTGAGAGGATCATACGCCAGGTGGACTCGTTTGACTATGATAGTTGTGGATTGCTGACCCTACATGGGAGGGTGTGGTTTATATACTGGGGCAGAGCACGACAAATTCTTATGGATAAGGCTCACAAGTCTAGATTTTCCATCCATCTCGGGGTGACGAAGATGTACAGAGATCTACGTCCTGATTACGGTTGGCCCTGCATGAAGCGGGATGTAGCCTGGTACGTCGAAAGATGTCTGACCTGCAGGAAGGTCAATGCAGAGCACCAGAGGCCTCATGGCAAGACGTAGTCGTTGGACATCCTTGTGTGGAAGTGTGAGGGTATTACTATGGATTTCATCACAAAGCTTCCCAGGACCCCACTAGGAGTGGATTCGATTTGGGTCATCGTGGATTGGTTGACCAAGAGTGCCCACTTCATTCCAATCTAGGAGAGCATTTTGGCTGAGAAGTTGGCCGACATTTACATCAGCGAGGTAGTAGCTCGACATTGAGTGCTAGTCTCTGTGATTTCTGACAAAGATGTGCGATTTACTTCCAGATTCTGGATGAAGTTTCACGATGAGTTGGGTACTCATCTACACTTTAGTACGACTTTTCACCCGGAGATGAATGGTTAGAGTGCGTAGGCCTTTCAGACTTTGTAGGATATGTTGCGGGTATGTGTTCCAAACTTTGGTGGTAGCTGGGATACCTACCTTCCCTTTGCATAGTTTTCCAACAATAATAGTTACCCTACGAGTATCGACCATCCTCCATTCTAGATG